TGTATTATTAGATGTCTTTGGGAAAGACCGATATTTTTTTTTAAAAAAAAAATTAAAGATGCACAATTAATAATATAAAGGATATACTCAATGCAACATAGAAAATACATTTTCCCCCGTCGCCACGGGTCTGGCAAACAATGTTCAACAAATAATGCCTTCCACATATGAATGTGGACTTTCAATTTTCAAAGTACTTATGGTCATATCATGTACACAAGGAAGGTTGGAACCAGGATGGTGAAATTTAGCCTGCCTTCCCTTCTTCTGGAGACCCTGTACCGGAATGCTCCTTCCCCTGCCCTGCCCTGCCCCCCTGCTCGCTCCCCCCACCCGCCAAGTCACTGCTCAATCTCTCTCTCTCATCCCCCACCTGTCTGCACCATGTTTGCAAAGCGTGGCACGAGGGGCAGAAGACCCCGAACCCAGCTGGGAGCCTAAGCAAAGGAGGAGGCGGAGAGCTAGGCGGAGGAAGGGGGAAACCCTAGTGAGGTTGGAACTTTCCTCATTTTTAGCAGATGGGACTTATTATTTTTCCTCTCTTTTTTAATAATAACTGCCATTAGTATTGAATTTCCCATCTCAAAGCAGTCAGAAGCCATGCTGCTGATTTCCAGCAATTGCATTTAGAGAGGCCAAAAGAAGTAGAATTTGGAGGGCTCCTGCAGGTTAAATGAAGCTCATCTTTGTTTTGCTGTGTTATTGTGTTTAAGCATAAATACATAATGGAGAACGTATGCAATGGAAAAGGTGCATTTAAGTAAAAGCAAACTTGGCAGGAAACAAAAAAAGTCCACACTTACTTGCTAGGTGCTCGATCCGGAAGGTTGGTTAATGCAGCAAAATTGTTCCGTACAGTACGTAAACTGGCAAGCACCTGTAGCAAACAAAGTGCATAAAAATTTACTCTCAAATTCCTCAGGTATGCTGCTTTTTCCCCCCTGAGTTATTTGGCAACAATAAACAGACAGCATTCTGAACAGGTGGCTTCCTAAACAAGTTATTGTGTGATCTGAAGAGAAACCAAAGTTATTAATCTTTTCAGGATTTTTTTGGTGTGTGCCTGAAGTGTTTGCTCATTGTTTTGCAATGCATAGATACTGCAATGATACTAGGGTGATAGTTTTAGTGGTCTCTTGCTTACTATTTGAACTTTACTTTATTGTCATAGTACGTATAGACACAGTATACCCATACAACAAAATTCACATGGCACCCAGAGACCAGGCCCAACACATGACCATTTCCAAACACCCCCCACCCACCAAAATTCCCCGCCCCTAAACCACCCAATCATCCACACAACAGACCAAATAATGTTGTCCAACAGCCCACTGATGGTGGCCCTTTAGTTCATTGTTGAGTGCAATTATAGCTCTGGGATAAAAACTATTCAGAAGACGTGTGGTCCGAGTTTTAATTGTTCTGTATCTTCTGCAGAGGTGGGTTCCTACCGGTTCGCACCAGTTCGGTAGAACCGGTTCGTCAAATCTACCGAACTGGTG